ATCGTTCCGAGCCATACAGTCGAGCGGAACAGAGCAGTGGATCCGGCAAAGGCAAAGGGAAGAACAAATTTCAGTCGAAAGGTGCTGCGTCAGGTCCCAGCTCTGGGCCCACTATCAAAGAGATGCTCACCAACATGCCAGACGGCTGCGCCAGCAAGCTGCCGAACGGTCAATGGCTGTGTGTTTTCTACAACAGAGGGATTTGCAAACATCAGAAGAAAGCACGTTGTCATTTGGGGCTTCCAATGTTACTACAAGGGTTGCACAGAGAAGCGACCTTACATTGAGTGTAAGCACTGACTTGGTGAGCCGAAACAAGACAATACAATTTCTCACCCTCATGCAGACAAACCAATAGTCTTTTTGGAAATCTGTGCGGGCTCAGCTGCGCTCTCTGCATCAATGCAACGCATGGGCTGGCAAGTTTTTCCGATTGACTATCATGCAAATCGTTTCAAAAACAAGATGCACATTTTTGAGTTGGATTTGTCATTGCATGAGAATATTTCACTCCTTGAAGGCATGATCGAACAGATGAAGCCGGTAGGAGCCCATTTTGGGCTTATGTGTGGAACTTGCAGCCGAGCACGAGAAGTGCCGGTTGCACATGCATTACGCTCTCAAGGAGCACCTCAACCTGCGCCCCTCCGTGACGCGTTGCATCCACTTGGCCTGCCAAATTTGAGCACTCTGAACCAGCAGAGAGTTGACGCTGCAAATACTGTTTATAGACATGCTGTGCGCTTGTTGCATGCACTTTTTCGTGTTGGAGCATTCATTACACTGGAAAATCCTTTACGATCGTGGTTATGGACAGTACTTGCAACACTGGTCAAGCAATATGCACGCGAACACAAGTGCCCTGAATTTGCTGAGTGGTATTTTTGTTTTCACCCCGTGGAATTTGATTTTTGCATGCACGGAGGAAACCGTGCCAAGTCAACCAAGTTGCTGGTGTCGACCCGACAGTTTGAGCCACTGGGGATTATGTGCGACAAGTCCCACAACCATGAGCCATGGACAATTGTCAGTGGATTTGATAAGTGGATTTTTTCTACTGCAGCGGAAGCTCAATATCCTTCAATGTTCTGTGATCGATATGCTGAATGTGCAAGTACAATGGTCGCTGCTAATGCACTGGAGTATAACTCAAAATTTTTTCGACTGCAATCTTTAATGGCCCAATCCATTCAAGCCAAAGGTCATGACCAATTGATCCCTGAATTTTCCCAAATTATTGTCACTACGGTACTCCCTCAACTGCCACACAAAATTTTGGCTCGCTTGGGACACGGGGGAGACGACAGCGAGAGGTCAGCTGAAAGCTACAAGGTTGGCATTTATTTCAACCATCATGATCACCTCAAGCGTTCTTTAGAATTGCAGCACCCTGCATTTACGCACAAGGGTGTACCAGATGATTTGAAGAAAGCTATTTTCTTTGTGGCAACACACTCGATGGCAGATGTTGCCCTGTTCCGCATCAGCAAGCTGGGAGAATGTGTTGAAATTGCAAAGCGACTGGCTCTTGCGGAGAAACTGGCGAAAGTCAAAATGGACAAGAACGTGGCGGAGGTGACCAAGGCAAAACGCATTGAACTTTGGGAAAAACTGCTGACCCAGGTTGGGTTCGAAGACATGGAGGTTGTGCGCTATATGCGCGAAGGAGTTCCCCTGACTGGCTGGGAAGACGAAAGCGCTTTGTACAAACAACGATGGGCTCCACCTACAATGACAAGCGAACAGTTGGACCACAGTGCTTTGTGGCGACGAAAAGCCCTTATGGGCAAAGCCTTTACTGACGAAGAACGTGGGCTTGCAAAACTGCTTATGGAAGAAACTATGAAAGAGGTATCTGCTGGTTTTCTGGATGGTCCCTTTTTGGAGTCTGATATAACAGAAAGGCTTGGGCGTGCGGACTGGTCAATGTCCCAACGGTTCCTTCTTTTGCAAGGTGAAGACCTTAAACCTAGAGTGATTGACAACTACAAAACGTCGGGAGTGAATGCGGCCTTTGGAACATCGTCGCACCTTGACCTGCACGACACCGACGTAATCAGTTGCTTTCTTGCGTTTGCTTTGGGGGTTTTCTGCGGAGATCCACATATCGACATCGAACTTTCTTCAGGTGACCACCTCACTGGTCGAAGGCACCCTGACTACGACCGAAAGCCTTTGCTGCTGGGCAGGGGCATCGACTTGAGCAAGGCGTACAAGCAGGTCAGTGTTGCTCCTCAGTCTGCTAGACATAGCGTTTTGGGAGTGCGAAGTGAATCTGGCGAATGGAAGTTCTTTATATCGAAGTCACTGCCTTTTGGAGCCACGTCCAGCGTTTTTGCATTCAACAAGATCACGCGCGGTATCTGGACTTTGTTGGTTCGAAAATTTCACCTCCTTACCACTGTATTTTATGATGATTTTCCTGTTATTGAGTTTGAACCTTTGGCGGCAACAACTACGAACGTGGTGCAGCACCTTTTGGATTTGCTTGGGTGGAAGCATGCTACGACTGGTAAAAAGAGTGTTGATTTTTCTGACACCATGCAGGTGTTGGGAGTAGCATTCCACTTGCAGAACTTTTGGAACAAACAAGTGACAGTGGCGAACCGCCCAAGTCGGATACAGAGGATTTTGGAGATGCTTGAATCATACGCTGCCAAGGGTACTGTGTCTGCACCCGAGGCGGCGACTATGCATGGATTGCTGAATTATGCTGGTGGCTTTGTGGTTGGACGTTGTTTGAAGCCTGCCGCCAGACAGTTTGCAAGTTTGCAGTCAGGTTCATCAGATACAGAGCTCATATCGCGCTTGTGCAATGATACATGCAGGATCATTAACCGAATGCGACCACGAGAAATTCGCTTCCTGAGCAGCGATCGTCCGGCAGTGATTTACACGGACGGTGCGTACGAGAATGGGAATGGAACCTGGGGTGCAGTTGTCATAATCCCTCAACTTGGCATTAATGCAATTCACTGGGGAACCATCCCACCAGTCCTGATGGAGCACTGGACATCTATTGGACTTCAGCAGAAAATTTGTCAAATTGAGTTGGTTGCAGTTTTGCTTGTGAGGTATTTTTACCGCAATGAACTTTCCAATTCTTCAGCACTGTACTTCGTTGACAACGAGGCTGCACGTTTTTGCTTGATCAAAGGATCCAGCCCTTCACTGTCCATGTGCAACATCTGTCGTGCAGTGTCCTTAGTAGAAGCAGAATTTCCTTCCGCTTCATGGTATGAAAGGGTGGCTTCGGAGTCAAACATTGCTGACCTGCCGTCACGCTCCAAACTGAAAGAATGCCAGGCAATCTCGGGAGGAAACCTTGCAGGCGATATATGCTTGCCTGAAACAATGCTCTTGGAAGTTACAAGAAAGTGAAGCTCTTTACATGTCGAAAAAAAAACGGGGGTGACAGGCGACATGACTTGTTGACCTGAAACAGTTACCAGACACTTGACTTGTGTTTGTGCGGTTTCACCCCCGACTCAATTAAGATAAGCAAAGACAAAAAGAAATATTAAATACATGTCCGACCTTCGAGCGATTTGCGTGGCGTTTTGAGTTTTACGTTTGTTTGAAATAAGAAATTTAATTTACAAAGGGACGAGCACAAACGTTTGGCTTCAACTTGTTGTGGCCTTTGTTTGTTGGGAGTAGTGAGCTTGCGAACGTACCGCCTGTAACAAAAAAAAGAAAAATCTGATGAACTGAAAACCAACTGACGGTGTTGGTGAGCCTGGCGGTGTTTTCAGCTCAGCTTTCAGAGTCAAGCAAATATAGCTGATCCTCCTGTGAAGAGTTGAAGATGTTAAACATGTTCAAATTGTTCAAGCTAGTTTAAGATGTGTGGAAGTGCGGTGAAATCTGCTGAAACTTCCGTAGTTGGACGCCTTTTCCATTCCGCACTTGTGCGGCGGCAGATGCTCCTGGCTGAATGCTGGAAACCAACTGAAGTTTCCAAACAACTTCTGTTTATTATCATGTTGTGACATTTACATCTGTCACTGTTGTTTGAAGGATGATCTTTCCTTCTCACTTTTTATTTAGATCAGATTGATGTCAGTCTTCTCACCTTTTGCTCTGTTGCGAACATTTTGATTTTATGTTCCGCGCAATTTTGGCTAGGGTGTGGAGGGTGGGTTGCACTTGACCCGTTCGATTTTTCTATCCCCTCCCAAACTTCGTTTTCCCTCCCTTATCTTGTGGGGGGGTGACAGGCGACATGACTTGTTGACCTGAAACAGTTACCAGACACTTGACTTGTGTTTGCGCGGTTTCACCCCCGACTCAATTAAGATAAGCAAAGACAAAAAGAAATATTAAATACATGTCCGACCTTCGAGCGATTTGCGCGGCGTTTTGAGTTTTACGTTCGTTTGAATAAGAAATTTAATTTACAAAGGGACGAGCACAAACATATATATATATCAGTATCAAAGTGAGTCGACATATATTTCTCAGTATCAAACCTGTTGCAGACAATGCCAAGGAGACTCCGGCTGGACTAGCACATGACTTGCATGACTGTTTGTTCCCCGAACTGTATGACCTGTATGAATATGAATGCAGAGGCCAAGCGCTTCCTGCGACTAAGGTACTACCCAGACTGGGTTTCTGAGCATTTGTTTCTTTTCCCTTTGATCCCGCGACCTAGTCCTTTCCTGGGTTGGACCCAATTTTTGTCAGAGTTATTTTTTGGATCACTTTGCAGATGAGGTCTTGGGTTCCTACGAATCTTGCTAGAGCGACTCTTCTGTGTGGTTCCAGCTACTCTGCTGCAGAGAGTAGGTGGTTCCAAGGCTATTGACTCGGAAGCCCCAAATCAAACCTCCGATATCCTCGAGCACTTGGGTCACAGTACGGCAGAAGCCCTGCCAACTGGATGTATTTTCTACATCCAGTGGAATCCAGGATCCACCAGAGGTGTTTTTCTTCTTACCCTTGTCCTTGACAGCTTGTGGCTGGCCAAGGTCGTGGCCAACATCCGCGCGGAAGTTATGGGAAGACGGTGCGTTGGGAATCCAAGCATTTTCTGGTCGGTGATCCTAGCGCGGCTGAGTTGCCACTGGCTCTATTGGATTCTATTGGAGCTGCAATTGTGTATGTCGGCTCCCGTACACTGTGAAACTCAAAAGAGGGACAGCGGCTTCAAGTTGTTGTTCTGCTCCTGTGTAGCCTGTGCTATAATCTGTGCCAGCTTTTTCAGCAGGAGGTGTTGCCTTGTAGTGCCAGTTGTTTGCTTGTGTTGTGATTGTACAGAGTCCCTTCCATGTGCAACAAATTACGAATGATGCGATTTGGGCAAGAAATCAAAATCCTGAATGGTTTTACCTTGCGACGCATTTCATTGTTTTCTGCTTTCTGAAAGTCTCACCATGCAGCTTCCACGTAGGTTCTCTCCTGGAAGCAGCCACGTGGATTTATGCGTCCGTCCTGCAGCTCAGAATGCGTCGACTCTGGGGCATTGTAATCAAGAACTTCGGACACCATTTAGTTTTCATGGATTGATTTCCTGCTAGAGTTCCGAAAAAAGTCATTATAGGGGTCAGGTTATGAGCAGTCGGAGCAGTCCTTCCTTGCAATCAGAATTTCTTATATGATTTGGGTGCTGCTCTCCAAGGTCCACAATATCCCCTGGGGATTTGCTCCTTGAAGAGGCTACTGGATGTCACGTGAGTAGCGGCTCAATACGCTGTACTTTTTTCCTCAACAGAATTACACTCTTGTGGCGGTACACGTGTCTCCCCGAAAGTTGGTGCTGGATCTCTGCTGGGCCAGGTTGATGAGACTCTTCTGCAGGAGACCGCTTCAAATAATAGTGGTTACATGTGGTTACTCCTGTTTTTGCGAACAAAGCATCAACAAATATCAACAATTTTTGTCCAGACAGAAGTGGCTGCACCAATGTGAAATGTCCACAGAAACGGGCCAGACATGGATGGAGCCCAGATGTGTTTGGGATGTCCAGCAGTTTCGAAGGAGCTGCAAGATGCACACTCATCAGCGGCTTGCGAAGGCTTTGTTCCTGGCTTCTGTTTTAGTTGAGGGAACACCATCATCCACTGACACTTCTTCCGTCTTCCAACCGCTGTCATCAATGCCACGAGGTTTCGTATTTCACGAGGAACAGTACACCAATCATCGAGAGGTGCCTAGCACAGGGCCGGGCACAATGGATACTGGGATGGCTTTTAAACCCTTGCGCTTTTGGGGCAATGAGGGGATCCTTGTCATGCTGGTGCTACCTCAAAGACCTTTCCAAAGAGCCCCCAGGACCACTTTTTCAATCAAGATTCACTGGCTGTGTAACATGCGCATCCAAATTCTTCAAAAGGAACATGCATGATACGAATGGTGTTGTGGCGAAAAGATCGGCGTGAATATCTCGCAGATTTACTTATCGCTCAAACTTTTCGTCGCCCTGACCTCTTCCTTTTTCGCCCATGGCGCCTGCTGCCTCACGACTGGTGGGAACAGGACTGGCTAAACGTGCCAAGCTCGTGGCTGAAGACCGGAAGCCCAAAGTGAACCCTCAATGTACTGAATCGACGAAACAGCCTGGAGCATGTTGCAAAGCTGAAGACTTTTGAGTTTCGCACCAACTGTACCTGATACATTGACATCTAATACTTTTCATTTGTTCCATTGGTTCCATCTCTAGGAGTTGCGCTTGGCCTAGCAGCCACCACTTTCGTAGCGCCTGGCAATTCCAAGCCTCGCCAGAGCGCCGCCTTGCGAGGCGAATGGGATCACTCCACCATCGAATGGGACTCAAGACGTAGGTATGTAGGCGAAAGTAAAACAACAACACCCGTGATAATGATAGTGATAGTGGATGATAATGATAAGAAAAGGCATACTAACTATGACAATAACAATAGTAATAGCTGTAAGAAACATATATATATATACACATGGTGATGTGGTGATGTGGTGGTGGTGGTGATTGACTTTCTTCACTTTTCGAAAATCCGTAACCCGGAGTTTAGGCTTCCAAACGTCTTTTGATAAACTACAATATAGCATATTGTAGAATATGCAATATAAAACATGATATGGCAAAATAAAACATATTTTGACTAGAGGTAATATCATAAATTATTTAATTTACCACTATTGCATTCTATATATTTATATAATTTATATACTAACTTTCAAGTTTGAAAATAGCACATTGTAATATAGTTAACAAATGTAAATGATCAAATATACCGTAAATGATATTTTATTTCCAATACATGCTGTACACAATTTAATATGTCATGAAGCATACATAATATATTTTATATACATACTATATTTTCCAATTTTTTCCTGATATATAATATAAATGTTTAATATATATATATACACGTAGATTTAGCATTTAAACTAACTTAAACATATATATATATGTATAATAAATTTCATAGACACTGCAAGATAATACAACATGATTTAATGGATTTAATATAGTATAGCATGATACATACTATTTAAGATACTGTGATATTTCATATTTCTTAAAATATAAAATAGAGGATCATATATGATCGAAAACCCCATAATACAATATTCAATATTATTTTCAACTTAGTATTTCAAAATTAAAAGATACGATCTTACCTTATATAGAAATTTCAACGATAAAACAATCTCTACTATAATATTACGTAGTTTAATATAGCACCTTTCAATACACAATTTAATACAACCTATTACAATATAGTACTTCATAATATCACGCAATAGACTAATATCACATATAATCAAAGATATATTTAATATGATCTAATACAATAAAATACAGCATAGTATAATGTAACATCATTTAATAGAATACGATACAATACAGTACAATATAATATAGTATGATATAGTATAGTAAAACATGATGTAGTATAACGCATAGTATTTTACAATACCATGCAAATGTAATGTATTCAAAATTATTCGAAATGATATAGAAGAAAGACAATCTGCGACATATTGTAAAACATTTGATATAACTTAATATACTAGACACCTTCATGTGCCATGATATGATGTAAGACAATAGAATATAATGCAATATAGTGTACTACAGTATCATGCCATGTAATATAATGTGTTGCAAGATAATACAATGCAATTTAACATCTAATAATGTGTTACGGCAATGTCAAAAATTACATGTACTATATAATATATTGTAATTGAATAGACTGTACTATAATGTGGTATAACGCAATATAACGTAATACAATGTAATACTATGTAATACCATGTAACATAATGGAATATAATGCAGCATGATTTTCAAAATTGAATAAACTGTAATGGAATATAAGACACTATAAAAGATGTAAAAATATTTCCAATATATAACATATAATATATGATACATGCATTATGTACTCTATGAGATATTATAAACAGCAACATGCAATACATAATCTGTAACACATGGTATGTAAGATGTAACATGCATTCAAATCTAATTTAGTTTAATCTAATCTAATCTAGCATAATGTTGTCAAATACGATGCAATATATATATAAAACATATAACATGCTAAAATGTTTAATATCATTCAACATATGCACGTATTGCACACATGTACATACCCACATTATACACGGGAAACAAAGTAGGAATAATTCAGGTTGGAAGCAAAGAAGGTAAACCTATGTTTTTTTTACTTTTCAGATTTCAATCCAGTCTACAGATTCAACACGCGGCAGGTTCCAATGTGGACACGTCTGCAGCAATCCCAGCGCCAGGACCTCAACTGACTTGAAGGTGGAGAGAGACGTTTGTTTGTCTGCAGTGGTTGCAAACAGAGAGGCATAAAAAAAAGGGATTTGTGTCATTGTGTCCTTTCTATTAACTGGAAAACATATTCAAGAAACCTTAATAGCTTGGGTTTGGATTCTGCGAGTGGAACAGTGGAATGCAGTCTTTGGCTCTGAATTTCCGACGCGATTAACGAACCGTGAGCTGTGGTGTTCCAGCCTTTGGAGCCATGAAGCCTTTGACCTGTCTTTTGCTGCTGCCCTTGGTACTGGCACAACAGTGCGAGGAGCCTGAGGAGTCCTTGTTGATCCAGAAGAGTCAGGCTTGGCACATCCTGGCACTTGCAGCAAAGTTGATGATAGAGTTTGATGGGTCACATACCGACCAAATCACAGAAACCAATTTCGTGGAAGAAAGCTGGCTGCTTCCTGATTTTAGCGATATTGGTATGCGATGCTTCAAGGGAATGCTGGGGATAATTTACATGTATGTTGTCTTGGGTCATGCAAAACATTTTTACACACTTGTAGTCTCACTGCCAGAATGACACTTGAATTCACACCCTAGCAAACTGTTGATCGGTCCAAGTGTTGATGTTCAGCGGAAGGGTGGTACCAGGAATGGATCACGACATGTTCTCGCCAGAACGAAGCTGGTACATGGGCACATTATATATGTAAAATTATGTATAATAGTATAATATATATATATACATACACACCGTTTTGCACTTGAATGATGGACCAGCTCTAAGACGTTAGTCAGTCATCACGGGTTCCTGGCAGTTCCTGGTACGGCGCCATCATTATGACCTCCAGGAAGCATCGGTCGTCCCGAAGGACAAAGGAGAACTGCTCCCGGGTTTTTTCGCCACCATGGGCCTCGAGATGGCCGAATTGACGTTGAAAACGGCCTGCACCAACGTGGAAAAGGTGCGGCCAAGGGTTGCTAGTGTGGTGAAGCTGATGTCCAGCAGTGACTTGGTGGGTCATGGTTTGGTGGTTATTAGGAGGCAAAATATGATGCAGTGACTTGGATGGTTCCAGCCGGTTACTTTCCTCCGTGCCAATATGATGCCATGCTGAACCATTCCTTTTTCGCTCAAGCCTCGATACAGACACTGCATACGACCAGGCCACGGTTTATGCGCAGTCAAACCTGCCAGAAAGTCCATCACCGGCCGATCTCAATGATAGACTTGGTCGCTGGGCATATTTTAATGGTTTCAATTTGTTCTTTAGTCTCAGCAAGTAGGGTAAAAACTACAGTCTGAATCTTGCTTGTACAGCCAGCTCAGCACTAAAGGTTTGCCCAGGGACTCCTTGTATGCGATTGACACCGGTTTGTTCCTATCGTCTCTTCTACACATTGATCGATGTGTGATCTCTCCGCTCGGAGTACCTCAAGGGCTTTTCCCTTACCAGGTTTTAAGGCCTGCAGCTTGCTTGGGATTCAGCACCCAGCAGTTCCTAAACTGAAACCCAACGTGCCTGTGTCTTGAAGCCCCAAAAGGTCAAGTTTTCAAGACCATGGTGACCGAGCTCAATAAAGGTGTTCAAGAGGCCTGAGAGTTTTTCAGTAGATGATGCATCCTTGGTCAATTTGAGTCAACTTGTGCCATGGCAAAGAAATGCTGGTAGAGAAGGTAGAGAAACTCTTAATGTCCAACCCCAAAAAACCTCACATACAGATCTGCTGTGTCTTTGACTGCTTCAATATTTTGATCGCCTCAGTTTTGAACCGGGGCCTTGAAGTGATAGTGTCCAAGCATGGGCAACTCAGTCTTGATTGGTAGATTTGCTAGATACAGCACAGTCTATGTGGTTGGAATATGTTGGAATGTGGGCAGAGACTGGCAGAGACGTCCAGTCCATAGCAAATGCAAGTGTCACGCAGAACCTATCCCAATAAGTCAGTTTGCTGCTCGCTTGGACTCACCAAACATGTAGAGATGCACACACACAGACGGAACTCTATAGTATCTGATGCATGCATGTATTCCAATGTGTTGTTTGTTCATAGATAATACATGCTGTAGAAACTTGGATAGTATGATAGAATTCATCCAATCTCAAACTTTTTGCCCTGACTTACTGCCAAGCATTGAGCATTCACTGCATGCACACAGGTGACTATGGGCCTCAAAGTGCAGGGCCTGACCACATCTCTCGTCAAGCTGAAGGCCGAGGGCTTGAATGCAATTTCAGATGGAAGATCGGATGTTACTGAACATTTCAGGTGTCTGAATAAGGGCTTGCGTTTTTTGCCCCATCGCATGAGAGAGGTCCAAATTGTTGACGCATTTGATGTGCTCTATTATGCTACCATTGAAGTGCAAGTGACATAACGTGATTTTGATCTAGTCTTTTCCAGACATTGCTGTTGCGGTTCGTTGTGGCTTGCACCTTGGCCAGGATAGCTTCGACATTGCCGAAGCAAATATTCACACAATGGAAGGCAAATGCACTTTTCAGGCCGCACGACTGGAAAGTGCTGGTAGTTCGGACTCTGATTAATGCAGGAACTGCGTATAGATTTCACTTTGAGTTTGGCATTTGGCAGCTGCCCAAACATAGGTAATACGGTAATTTTTAGTTGGTCCCTGAAGCTTTCATCATACCTTCTCCCAGGAACTGGCCTTAGTCCACTGGGAACGCCCCAAGAAATTATAATCATCTCTTCTCAATAATCTGCTGCATTAGTAAAGGTTGCTGAGTAATGAGTCTGAAGGAAGAAATGCCATGATTGCTTTTGCCTCCTCTTTGCAAAGAAGACATGTCTAGAGTGTAGAGACACACACACACACTTGTAGGGACCAGGACTCCACTCCGCTCTGCGCACAGACCTCATTTCAGGACAACATCGAGCAAGAGATTAGTTCCTGCAAGGAGGCGGCGTCCGCAGCACATAAGGCGATGCTGGCAAGATTCAGAGTCCCCTGGTTGAATTCGAAGATCTTGCAGACGTCTGATTTTCTTTCTGATATCAAGTCATGATGACTCATGCCTCTGTCTCATAGGCCCTAGATATCCCTAGACGCTATTTGACCATATTTGACCTGCCTTCATTGGCAAGTCAAAGCATCAAAGTTCCCAAATGCAAGGAATGGATCAACGAAGCGGCAGCGGAGCTCCTGACCAAAGTCGTTCCCTGGGACCAAGGGAAGCTGAAGAAATTCAATGCCCAGAAAATCCCGGAGACGCTTGACGACAGTGCCTGATATACACATATTACACATACAAATGATATACATATACATACAGTATATACTAGGCCCTGGGTGGGGCCTTTTTGTTAGGGGGTTTCTGTCAATGGACTTTGGAGTGCCCCCAATGATTTATATACTAGACGACAGTGTGGCCCGAAAGGATGGAAGAGAAGATATGAAGATGACGGATGATGAATGATGATGAAATATGATGAATGATGAATGAGGTTGTTGATGTAAATGACTTGTGGATGTATAATGAGTGATAATGAACTTATATGAAATTATTATGTGACCTGTGTATCTATATATTTCAATGCCGTCTATTCAGATGATTGGCAAAATGCAATAAATTGCGATACAGTGTCAAGAAGCAAAGCATGCTGCATCTTAGCTGCAAGACAGGGACCGAAACTCAAAGGCAAAGAAGCAAAAGATGGATCTACGCAGTCGCAACTCGACGTCCCACTGTCGTTGCTCTGGTTTTTCCACGCATACCTGGTGACAGAATTGAAGTCATTCACGAAAGGCTGGAGAATCCGAGCTAAACAGCCCTCGCTTTAATTTTTCCTGGCGAAATGTTGCTGAACTTAAGCACTTGAAACCACGGAGCTTCGCAGAAGCGTCGGTTGCGCAATCGACGATTGGGTGGTGGCAAAATCCGTTCTTGCACAGAAAACTGTTCCTGCACAGAAGCTTTTACACAGAGAAGTCTTTACACAGAGGAGCTTTTACGCATGGAAGCCTGCACACAGAAAAGTCTTTACACAGGGAAGCTTTCACACACCGACCGAGACATTTACACACGCACAGAAGCTTACCCGCAGAAGCTTTTACGCACAGAAGCTCTTACACAGAGAAGCCTTTACACGGAAGCTTTTACACAGAGAAAACCCAGACGTGTTTCCACACGGAAACTTTGGGACAGAGAAGTCGTTACACAGAGGAGCTTTTACACACAGAAAGTTTTATGCAGAGAAGTCCTTACACACGGGAGATTTTACACAGAGAAGCCTCTACACAGAGAAGTCTTTACACAGTGGTGCTTTTACGCACAGAAGCTTTTACACAGAGAATTCTTTACACAGAGGGGCTTGTACGCACAGAAGCTTTTGGACAGAGAAGTCTTTACACGCAGGACTTTCGTTGTACACCAGTTCTTGACGTTTCTTTCAATTCGCGCGAAAGGGTTGCGTCTGAAGCTACAAAATCGTAATTTTACACCAGTTTTGGACATGCGGTCTTCTTTTCGTGCGAAAGGGTTGCAGCTGAGATTTCAACATCGCAAGCTTACATCAGTTTTTGACGTGCGACCTTTATTTCGTGCGAAATGGTTGCATCTGATCTTTCAACATTGCAATTTTACGCCGACCAGTATTTCGACATTTCCGTTTGACGTTCCAACATCGCATTGCCGTTAGACTTTCATTTTGTGCAAAAGGGTTTCTGAAGTTTCAAACTTGCAATTTACACCTGTTTTTGTAATATTCGACCCTGATTTTGTGCGAAAGGGCGACGCCACGCCACAGAAAAACTCGCATTTCGCCACACGGTTGCGCGTCCGACATGCGCGATCTCCGCAGAAGGTTGTCAAGCCCCAACAAAAAGGCAAATTTCACCACAGGTTCGTGCGTCCAATGCGCACGATCCCCGCACAGGGCTACTGTCCCCAAGGCAAATTCACATTTCACCGCACGTTCGTGCGTCCGACACGCACGCAGAGGGTTCATCCAGCACAAACAGACTTGGTATGCCCCCACACGTTTGTGCGTCCGACACGCACGATCTACCGAGAGGGTCACATTTTGTAACCTGCCGCCTGGCTACCCTGCCGCCTAATCAGAGAACTTAGAAGAACTTGAGAAGTAGGATTTTTGTAGGTGTTCAGGTACGAGTAAATCTCCCAGAAGTCAACTCCTGCGTAAATACCGCCTGAAGTTAACTCTTGTGTAAGAACTCCTGTATAACTACTCCTGTGTAACAACTCCTGTCAAAGATTCCTGTCTAAGAACTCCTGTGTAATGACTCCTGTGCAAATGGCATTGTAGGAGTTTTGTAGGACGTTTGTAGGCGGTGAGCACCTGTAGATTGTGTTCATGACGTAGATAGATGTATGTGATGCAGATGAAGTTGATATAGATGAGGTAGATGATGTAGATGGTGTATGTGATGGAGATGAAGTTGTTTGAAGTTCATGTAGACGATGTAGATGATAAATGTGACGTAGATGACGTTGATGGTTGAAGTTGATGTAGATGAATGATGTAGGTGATGTATTGATGTAGATGACGCTTATAATTGAAATTGATGTAGATGATGTATGTGATGTAGATGAAGTTGATGTAGATGATGTGGGTGATGTAAAGAAAGTAGGAGATGTTTTCTAGATGGGGTAAACAGTTGAATTTGTCAGCAGTTCTTGGGAAAAACCCTTCGCAGGAGCTTTCTGGAGGAATACCCTGAACTATTTAATTGTAAGCTATGCCCCGAACTATTGTTAAAATATTGGGGGCTGACCAAGGAACAGCTTCGCACCTTCAGCTATCAACACCCTGGCAAAACACGTGTTCAGTGAAATACAAAGAATTTCAACGAATAACACACATGGATTTGTATTTCACCCAGATGCAATCGATTTTTTACGCAAGAATAGTGGTGAGTGCATAGATGCACGCTCCCATTTTCAGAAAAGTTCTGTCCTCTAGCCTCTTGCATACCGAGGATCACTGAGCTTGTGGACAGCATGTGTACCCATCTTGACAGTTTAATTGAAGCTCGGACTTCAAATCGCAGCCGTTGATTTGAGATTTTGCCTGAATCAAATATCAAACAGCCTTACTTCTGTTTTGAAAGTAATTCAAGCAGCATTTGTTACGAATCTGCAGTTGCCTGAGTTGCCAAGGATTCCGTTTCTGAAAAGGCAAGCCAATACGCTAAGATGAAGGCGGCGAAGAAAGCATGAGTGAGAACGTTTACAGATTGATCCACCGTTCTCCTCATGTCCAAAAGTTGGAACATATAATTACTCCTAGTC